ACAGAACAACAGTAAAATTACAATAATAACATTTATTAATGTTGATGGAGTTCTTGCTTCTCAGCTTTTATTTTTTTTTTATACAACCACCCCCCTTCCTCTTCTCATCGAAGACATGCGATGCAGTACTAAACAGTAGAGGTCTACACGGGTCCAAAAATTCGTACCCGAACCCGAAGAGACCCGTAAATGTGGACCCGAACCCCGGCCGGGAAGACACAGAACCGACTGGACCCGATTGGCAAATATTCCACAGCAAATTGCTATTAACAAGTCGATAAACAAGTTGCGAAAATTAAACTTTTATTTGCTATCATCTCTGTGATCTCTGAGCAGAGTCTGAGCAAAAATTTTAGATATAACAAGACGGTACATTCATAATATTATAAAAAATATATTAATAACTCACATCACTCGATTCTGATAACGGCCGGGTGTTATCCGAGTCCGATCGACTCGGGTATTACACACAATGTTAAACAGACCCGGGACCCAAAGTAATAGATTGGGACCCAACCCGGACCCAGCAGACCATTTAAAATATAGCCCCGAACCCGTACGGATCCCGGGTCCTCAGGTCTCGGGTCCACCGTGTAGACCTCTACTAAACAGTCTCTCGCTGTCGGTGCTTGTAATCATTTTTACGTCTTTCTCGGACACTTTTAAATGTTTCCACCTTGCCGTCATGTTTGCTGCTTTTAGCGCGCGCCTCTATTTAATAGCTTTACACGTAATTGTTCGGTACAATTTATTCGGTCTTTTCACTTATTCGGCCGAACACCGAAAGAGCTTTTTTTTTGTTGCTATTTTCGGTTGCCGAACATTCGGTGCATCCCTAATTATTTTATATGATAATTATTTCACAATATTACTGTTTTACTATAATATTGCAATCGAATAAATGCAAGTGAGCATAAGAGACCTTAAAAAACAACAAATCTTACCAACCCCCAACTTTTGAACAGCAGTGTCCATGTGTGTAAATGTGTGCTCATTTTACTTAGTCAGAATGATCAGGCCCACAAGCTCCTTGGTGCAGGCTTCAGGGAAGCGCTGGTCTCCACATTGCTGCCTCAGACTATACATGAAGTCAAGGACAGTCTCACTGCGTAGAACCTTGTGACTCACATCGGAGCACAGCATGATGCTGGACTCGTACTGAAGGATGGTGGTCATGAATCCAGGCCAAATCGTCAGCCTGCAAACAGATTTAGACAGGCTCCAATGTTCAATCACTTTTCAACAGAAGGTAAATGTCACACAACACATTTGTTTCAAAACCTGTGCTGGGGGATGTTGAACGGATCATCAGGGTTGTAGTAATGACGTCCGATTTGCTGCATGTTTAGTATCCTCAGAATTCTACAACACAAAATAAACAGGGTTATAAATTAATTACCTTGTAAATACCACTATTTCAAACAGAGTGCTATCTGTGATTACCTCCTGAAGAGGATGTTATAAAACTGCAAGCACACAGGAGAGGATGGCGGGAGCTCGTTGGTCAGCGTAACCGTGATCTCAACCTTCTCTCCGTTTCTAGTCTCACTGCACAGAACTGTCTCCTACATATAAAGCAATTTATCACTGACAACCATATCAAATCCACACTCCAAAGCCTCACTTAAGAGACACTGAAATTATGAGCACTTTGAGGATCTGAAAACATACAGTATTGTGCAGTTTGTTAGGGAGGAAGAGAATGGCTCCATCAAAAGTGTGTGCTTTTCCCAGAGTCTCCTCGTGCTGGAAAAGCAAAGCCGAGCGCAGACGTCGGGACTCCATAGGTGGCTTGAAGTCCACGTGGTACTGATACAAAGCCCACAGAGGTCGTGAAAGCAGACGCATGAAATTGGCCCTCAGCTCAATGGCAGTGCCTGAAACACCTGTGGTGACAGGAAGAGTGTCAAGTCTAACATTGCTACAACATTAGAACACGGATGTGGGAAACGTACACTACCGATTAAAAGTTTGGGGTCAAAAAAACTTTAATAGCATTTGAAACAAGTCTCTAATGCTCACCAAGGCTGCATTCATTTGTTGCAGTTAAAACTAACATTTGTGAAAAATTACTACAATTTAACATGTATCTTTTTAATGTAATACATCTTAAGTTGTAATTTATTGCTGTGATATAAAGCGGAATTTTCAGCGGCCATTACTTCAGTCTTCAGTGTCACATGATCCTTCAGAAATCATTCTAATATGCTGATTTGTGCCGAAATAGTTTTTCTGGCTTTGGAATATAAATCGCAGCACGTTTCAGATGAAAAAACGCGACTTCTATTTCTGAAAATATCAGTTAGGAGATTTATAACGAGTGGTTCCCTGCATTATTACAGCAAAGCGCGTGATTACAGTACTAAGCCGCTGCAATTGAGCAGCTCTAATGCTATTAAATTAAAGATGATGTACCATAGAGCAAAAAAATGAACAGTAAAAGTAACAAAAACTTGTAAAATACATTTTTTAGTTTAACTATTTTTTTTAATTTATTTGTAGTAAACCCATGTTTAATTTTAATAAAGGTACATCTGTAATTAAAACATTATGTAATTGAGTGCAGAAATGAATGCGAGTAATCTTACCTGACGCTGATATTACAATAGCCAGTCTTAACAGTTTACGTGATCTGGCTCTTGATTTTATTATTTTATTATTTTTTTTTTTTTCTTTGCCGGGAAGCAAATATATCAAACATGCGCGCGGTAAGAGCATCTACAGTAATTCACGTTGGCCAAAACACACAAGGAAACGCGTTGTGAAAAAAATATCGCCGGCAATCACAGACATTCGCATTCGGACGGGATTAGTTTTCTCAGAGGATCACTGAGTTTGCTGAAAAACAGTAGGTAATTTGCTCTGGAATTATTACAGGGGTTGTGTGAGAAAAACACAAACGTGGCAGATTTGGACGGGTTTAAAATCATCAAGTACGTCTGTGAAACACAAATTTCTCTAACGACCCCCTGTAAAACTAGTCCCGCCCGAATAGGGCTTTTGATTAATATAGAAAATGTAAAAGAATATTTGTTTTTGAACATTGAATTTCTGTCACAGATTTGTCTTTAACAAATACTCCCACTTAAAGTGTCTAACTTAATACAATTAATAATCAAATCAAAACTGGAAATCAAGAAGCCAGGGCCACTACCCAGCCAAAACAATTGCAAAAGAGCAAAAATCAAGTCTTGCTTATTAAATATGGTGTTACCTGTTTTGGACTCTTTCACATGTTCCATTAACTGGCGAGTGTGGACACCAGAATCATGGAAATCTCTTCTGCGTCCACCTCTTTCCCCAATCTTTACCTGCTGAAAGCCTGCAGAAATCTGCATCATCGCTACAGGGAGAAAATAAGCAAAAGAGTGAGAAATGGGATGAGGGAATATCATCATAGCATACATGCAACAGTATTCCCACTTGCTGCTCTAAATGCACTTACCTTCTTCAGACATGGCTCCAGGAGCAGGTTTCTGTCTCCCTCTCCCCACCAGCTGTCCTTCAGGTGGAGTGGGCATAACAGGCTTTGCGGCCTCTTGTGATACAGATGGTTGCTGCAGGGGAATTATAAAAATAATACGTTTATTTCCATAAAGTTTTATCATATTACTCTTAATATAAATATAAACTCACCACGCCAGGAGCAGCAGGCTCCTGACCGCGACCTCTGCCTCTGGATCTCGCTCTTGCTCGTCCCGTCATATTGGTGCTTCTTTTCAAATGCTTTGGTTTGCCAATTCAAAGTACTGTACACAAGTTAAGGTTACAACATACAGAATGGCCACGTTTTCAGTATACTTTTTATTTAGCATTTTTTTCAGTTTTTTCTTCTGTGGTAAACACAACTATGTTTGACAGAATGACAGCCTCAATCACCATACTTTCATTGACTGAACAAGTGATTCAATGGACGCGTGCCTATAATATTTAATCTTGTATGGAAGAAAGATAAACAAATCTGAAAGGACACCAGAGTGAGGAAATTTGACTTTTTTTGTGTTAACTATGACTTTAAAGTTATTTCATGGCCAACCGGGAGATAAATGCTTAACGTAATTTGCCACGAACAATGAGCTTTATATATGAAAATGTATAAAATGTCTGAAATGTTGAGAAATCTTACTATACGGAGCAGTAAAACATGACTGACCCATGTTCTTCACGTGTATGGCGCGCAACGGACACGTGAGGGTTATTCAAATTCCAAGGGTCTAGTAATTATACATTAAACCCAGTTTAAATTGACATTTTTTTAAATACAAAATGTGTTTTTTTAACGAAACAGTTTTTTATCTACATTAAAAAAATGCACTTTCTTTATAAAGTTTTTATGAGTTTTCTGACAAGTGTGCACTTGACACGTGCAAATGATTAACGTTAGGCCTACAAAATACATTAAGGGATAATCGTAAATATGAATGTAAATGTCATACATTGTTACAGTGTGACATTTTGAGAAACAATAGCAACCATATTACTTAATTGCATTACTAAAGATTAAATTTGTTAATTGTGTCCCGTTAGTGATAATAAGCACGTGTTTGGTGCGCCAGGCCCTGGTGTCTGTAACAAAGTTCTAAAATTCTGTCTGCTAAGATAGAACAAAGTTTAAAAGCTTACTTAAATGGCTCGAAATATATATATATATATATATATATATATATATAAATCTGTCTTAAATACTCAAGGAAAGTGCTTTGTCATCGTGTACATAATAGTGAAACTGATATACGTCAGTTAATGACTTAATTGGCCAACAGTAACCAGAAAATGACACTTAATTTTGTGGTTTAAGACATTTTACACGGTATTTCCATTGTTTATAACATAAGAAACAATTTCACAACTATCAGGAGCAATCAAATAACTAATTATATATGTATAATAAAGTCGATGAAAACTTAGAAATCGACGACCAACTCTCACTTACCCTTGTCTCGACAAGCGCCAAATGACACTCAATTAATTCCCGAGTCCCTACTGGCCGTTACCCCGATTTCTTCTGTATCCCTCCGCTGCTAAATATATTTATCATCTAGTTTGGTTAATATTTTTCAGAATAATTAATTCCTTACCGTCTTTTCAAGTCGTAATTACTTATTTTGATCGAAAAGCTTGTTGAAAATGGAATGGAAAAAGGTTGTTGAAGAAAACTATTTTATTTGGAAGGATACGAAACTACCTGTTACGGGGGGTCACCTGGCCCTGTTGACTCATTTTATTATAATGATAGACGTTCACCACCAGATGGCGCTCAAATACACAAAACACAACTGATTGTTCCTAGTCAACACAGAGGGAGAGACACGTTGTTAATAACAATAAATGTTGCTCACAATAATATTTAAATTTCTGAGACGTCCTTAAATATCTTGGGGTGGTTCAGTAACGAAACTTTCTAATTCAAGTTTCCTATTAGAAGTGGAAAACATTAATGGATGATTTACTTAAGACGAATTTCATGTAGGCTATTATTATTTACTGACCAATAAGCAGAGCACAGTTAGTGGTCATTGTACTACAGCTGTAACATTCAGGTGCTTCACCCAACAGATTTCAGTAGATAGGCCTACAAAATGTCCCTTTTGGTGAGAAAGAAGAAGTACTAACAACTACGTTTTACTCCCTAGAATAACAATTTGCAATATTCCTTTCATATAAACCATTTACTGTCAATTAAGGGAGGCTTAAGATATGTCACAATGTATAATGTGTGATGTTCTTTCAGTTTAATACGCTGCTGTTGCTGCTGCTCCTCATCAAGAAAGTTATATCTGGGCAAACAAGATGTAGGCTAAGCAGCTTTTCATGCTCCTGCAGTGATAATGTCTGTGTGCATCATCCCTCATTTGTTTTGATATAAGCATGATCAGAAAAAGATCTGGGATGTACAAAAATAGGCTTTGACACAAATACTGAATGGTTAATTTTCCTAATTTCTGCCATCTTCAAAAAAAAGTCCCAGCATGTATTAGAACAGATCTGCCATTTATCAAGCGACACATCTTGTTTTGCTGTATTTGCTTGATGCTGCTTTGTGAGATATAAGACTCATGATTAATAAATGTAGGTGACATAACTGCACATTTGGACCTGATTAATGTTTTTGGATGGAAAAATGTGTTCCATGACAGTGTTTAAAGATGTTTCTCTCACTTAGTTTTTTAATTTTATTTTATTTTTAAGGTGAAGGCCCGTTCACACCAAGGACGATAAATATAATGATAATGACACAGAAGCACAACACTGTTGGAATCCCTTTCAGAATGATTTTTTTTCCAGCTGATGAATGATAAAAACACTGACAGCCAATCAGAATCCACACGACTTCAAAGACCTTGAGCATTTAAAGCAGTAGATGACAAAACAACAGCACACTTATGATAAAAGAATGATATTTTACATTGGTGTGGACACTAATATATTTCGTTCTTGGTGTGAACAGGCCTTCAGAGTCTATCCCAGCATTCCTAACATTAGGAATTCCTAAGTATAATCAATGGGGAATGATATTGTTTTTAATTTTGTTAAAAACTAAATATTAGAGAATTCAATAAAATTACTTGAATTAAGTTTCACTTTGACCTGATAAATGCATTTTCATGCTCAAGTGCTTTACTGAATCTCAACTTCTGCTTTCTTTTTCATAATGGTTTCCATCTGTAGCCCTCCATTTACCAGATTGGGCTGTTCTCTTTTTTTGCCTCTCTCAGACTTTGATGAAAGATTAATGATTCAAATGTTAAGGATTCTGCTGCATAGCTTCTCCCTCTCCCTCTCCCCCCCC